GAGCCTGCTCCACCCCTGGACGCCCTCGGCTACACGCGGCTGCTGCATGAAGCGTCCCGAGGCTGGACAGTCTGCAAGGATGTGCGAAGACGCCTGGAATCCTCGTGCCTCGATCCGAACACCTCGAGCCTACATGTCTACATCCCCATGCAAACACCCGAAGGTATGATTTTCCCAATCCGCGAACCCCTCCCCCAAGGATAGTCCAAAGCCCCTGGCATGACAAAGGACACAGGAGGTCGAAGGCGAGGCGGGATTGAGCAAATCCTGACGTCGGAGATCTGAGCCCCCAGCGGCTTTCGGGCCACAACCGTTCGGGTCAATCCACACACACCCGTGGCACGCCCTCGACGAGGCGCAGCCGCTGAGAGGCACCCCGAGGCCGGGAAGCCTATGGAAACCCGCGAACTCGTCCGAGATCGCCTCGAACCGCAGTGTCCGGGCCAGTACGGCAGGTTCGCGTCGTGTCGACCCCGGCGTTGGTTTCTGACACCGCGGGGATCGTTCAACCTTGAACGATCGGCCGCTGCCGCAACGTCCGATCGTTCAACATCGATCGATTCTGGGTCGCCGGCGGCGTTCAACCTTGAACACCCGCGCTGGGGTCGCCGCTGGTCGACACGACGCAATCCTACCGTAATCACATGATGGCATCCGACCCCCCCCACCAACGGCCCACCGAGCACCGATCCTCCTGAAGCCAGGAGAGGCGCGGGCAGGGCTCGGACTTCGCCGCGCGCTCGACGACTTCCGAACCCTGCCCCCGCCGCCCCTCGAGTTGCCTGAGCCGTTGATCGGCGAGGGTGGGGCTCGGGTTTCGCCACCGAGTGCCAACACACACATGGCTGGATGCACAGGCGGAAAACATCTGGAGGCCACGCGCGGAATACGGATCCACATGCGGAAACCCGGCGTGCCCGGTCTTAGAGAACGGCCTGGCTCTGGAGAGACGTCTGGTCACGGTTGCATCCAGCTCTGGCCCAGGCCAGCAGCGTCATGTGTATCCAGCTTCCTGGTCTGATGGCGCGCCCGCCCCGGCGCCATCGTGCTCACGGAGGCGCTGGAGGTGGCCTTCGACAGCCTGTGCGGCGCCACCCTCGGGGACGCGCGGGGCTGGGCCGCCTCCCAGAGCCGCCGCTGCAGCTGCCGCAGCTCCTGGACCTTTGGGGGCGGGACTTCATCAGAAGGCAAGGGCCTTGGCCCCTGCCTTCCTGCAAGAAGGCCTCTCATGACATTTCGGGGGGGGCTTCATCAGAAGGCAGGGGCTCAAAAGGCTTCCTGTAGTCTACGGTCAAGAGGATCTGCTAGGCGTGTTGCGGCGGCGACCTCAGCGACACGCTGTGCCCTGCGATCGGATATCGTGTCGCTCCGCTCCGCGGCTCGGAAAGGCTCGGGACGTTGACGCTGGGCAGCTGGGAAGTGGATAACGTGTCGCGCCGAAGCGTGGTGGGCCATCACGTGGCCCCGGGACCTTCAGAAACCGTATTGGGGTGACAGTCCCAAGGTCACGGCAAAGGCAAGACCAGCCAACATCGAACCGCGAAACCGGATCGGACCAGAACGAGCATCGGATCGGGCTGCCTCGGCACTGGCGGCGGCAGAACGGTGTGGCGCGTGGGGTCGGCCTTCTCAGACGACGGGGGGGGCTTCTTTGAAGGCAGGGTCCTTCCCAGGAGCGCCTGGGGTGTTTCCTAAGAGCGCTTATGAGAAGCTGGAAGGTGTCCAAGAAGCCGCCCGCCTCCTTAGAAGCCCCCCCCCCCACCTGACAAGCTTCTATGCTCGCATCGCACTTGAGCCAAAATGGCCCAAGGAATGATCAAGGAATGTCAATGCATACGCGCGGCACGCAGGCATACTTCATCAGCCCACCAAGCCATGCGGGTGCACCAGGGGCGCACTCGGGGCTTCTGGTCTGCTTGCGTCCGCTGGGCCGCACGCAGCGGAGGCGGAGCTACCCGCACAACCTGCGCGCGCGCCTGTTGCTGCCGTCGCCGCCGTAACCGCGGCGCCGCTCGCCCCTGCCTCCAACTTGAGGCCCAAGTGCGCATTGGAGGCATGCAGGGACTTCTCTGAGCGGCCGCCCATAGCGACGAAGCCAAGCCGTGCCAAGCACTACCACAGCTCGCGTTGAGCCAGGTGCTTGGTGCCGAAGTCTGCCTCGTTCTCCTTGCAGGGCCTACGGCCGAGGACCATCTTCTTCTCAGTGGTGATCTGCTGGAGCCACAACGTCCCAACCTCGATGTGCCGTACTCGCCCAGCGCCTCGCCTGCGAGCCATGCCGCTCGCGGCGGTCGCGTCTCCCAGGAGACGCAGGTGCAACTGCCGTCCGAGGTCACGCATCAAGTTGCCCATGCCGATGAGTAACCGCGTGCGGGCGATGATAAACTATCCCAATGCGACCCTGCCTAGGAGTTGGAGCCCCTAGGAAAGCAGCATTAGTAGTAACGGTAAAGCTAAGCTACAGCTAAGCTGAGGCTAAGCTAAAGCTAAAATGAAGCTAAGCTAAAGCTAAGCTACAGCTAAGCTAAATCTAAGCTAGAGCTAAGCTGAAGCTAAGCTAAAGTTAAGCTACAGTTAAGCTACAGCTAAGCTAAAGCTAAGCTAAAGCGAAGCTAAAGCTAAGCTACAGCTAAGCTACAGCTGGGCTAAAGCTAAGTTAAAACTAAGTAAAAGCTAAAACTAAAGCTAAAGCTAAAGCTAAAGATGAAGCTAAGCTAAGCTAAGCTTAGCTTAGCTAAGCTGGGTGAGCCCAGGGGGCGCAACTGGGGGAACCGCGGGGCGGATGCCGGGGGAACCGCCCCGGGCGGGTTACAATGCCCGGCCCCTTTAAGCCCAGAGGGTAAGAACCCTTCTAGGCAGAGCCTTGGTTGGGAAATACCCCCCCCTATTAAACCCTCTATCATTATAATCCCCGCTCAACAGGATTTAATTGTGGACAGGGGGGCGGAGGCCGAACTTTATAATCCACTGGGGAAGTTGCGAATCAAAGTTGCTATCGTATCATGTTGACTAGCTACAGCATCGAAAACGCTCTTCGTATCCTCCTCTTCCTCTTCCTTGTCTTCTTCCTCCTTCTCCTCTTCCTTTTCCTCTTCCTTCTCTTCCTTCTCGTTCTCCTCCTCCCCTTCCTCCCCCCCAGGGCCCGCACTTCTTTAT